ATAAAGAGGGGATTTGGATGCGGTATCTGACTATTTGTTGTACCTTCCTTTTTAATTTTCTGATGTGGGCACCTGAGCCAACTCAACTGGCTTTTGTTTTTGTTTGATGACGGCTATGAACTATGTTATATATGAATGTCTTCCTTGGAAGACCACGCTTAAAATTATATGCCACTAAAAAATGAAGTAGTCGTACAAAGTCTCTTTCAATTTACCTCTCCACCCTTATCTGAAATGGGAAAGAGATAATGGACATCTATGTGAGTAATGACAGAGAAATGGAAAATGAAGGTGATAAACCACGTTCCTGTTGGAGCATAGTTGCAAATGAATGTAAGAGGCTCCTGAAACTGTCCTGTGTGGTTATGGAGAGAGTAGTCTAGGATTTGGAGAAGTTCAAGGGTAGAAGACACTGGCTGTTGAGGCCCTATCGCCATCCCTGCCTTTAGTACTGTTTCTGCTTCTCAGTTCCCTGGACCTTTATGCCTGAGGGTGCCTTCCGTGACTCATCAAAGTTTGACAAGTCTGGGAGTCCTATAGCCATCAGATCTCAGCAGTACCGCACAATCTTGTCTCTCAGGAGCATCAGGATACATAGCTCAGATTCTTTAACTTTCACAGTACTGTTTTTATTCTGTTTTTATTTTGTCTTATTTTTGGTTTTTCAAAGCAGGACTTCTTTATGTAGCTGTGACTGTCCCGAAACTCACTCTTCTACACAGTAGAAGACGCTGGCCTAGAACTCAGAGATCAACCTGCCTCAAAAGGAAGTGCCACCACACCTGGCCACAGTGGGCTCTTTGAAATGTGAGGTTTTTTTTAAATTTGTGGTACCTTATTTGTTTATTTATCAACTGATTTTGAAACCAGGTCTCACCCTGTAGCCCAGACTGGACTTAATTTCATAGCAAATTTAATTGCCTTAGTCTCCTGAATGCCAGGATTGCAGGCTTGAGCGGCCATACCTATATTGAACCTATATATTGGGTGTTCAAAGATAGCTAATGGGATTTGCTCTGTGCTGTAAGTATAAAATACATACCAGGTTTCAAAGGTTTAATATGAAAGAAAGAATGTAAAACATCTCATTGTTATTTTTCATACCGACCGTATGTTGCAAGGACATTTTGAATATGTAATGATAATGAAACATAATACAGCCATCAATTACACTTGTTACTTTGTGTTCTTTGCATGTCTAGAAAAATTTAACTACAAAATATGAAATTTCTTCAGTTATCTCTTTACAAAATTAAACATAAAATAAAGAACTTTATTTTGTTTCTGTTTCATTTATTCTGTTTCTGTTTTTTTTATCCAAATTACTTCCTGTAGAATCTTTTGTTGTATAGATCCAAAATGATGCAGTGGATAGAGGTGCTGGCACATGGGCTTAGCAACCTGTTTGATCCTCAGATCCCATAAGGTGGTGGAAGACAGGGGCCTTCTGAGAGAGTTGTCCTCTGGTGTCCATATGTATGCTGTTCTCTCTCTCTTTGTCTCTCTGTCTCTCTCTGTCTCTGTCTCTGCCTCTCTCTCTCTCTCTCTCTCTCTCTCTCTCTCTCTCTCTGTCACACACACACACACACACACACACACACACACACACACACACCTCCCACCCCAACAAATAAAATTAATTTAAAATCTTGAAAATATGTAGCTCTATGTCTTCTGGATTTGATATTTTTGGTTGGCTTTAATTCTTGTCTTTATTTCTATAAATAATGCTCCTCCCACCCCTATGACTTTCCTTAGGAGTCTATTGTTAGATTTCTATAGCTTGACTGTGATAAACTTAGATTTCCTTTTGTTTTTTCTTATTTTGTTTGAGGTTCTCTGGGTTTCATGAACATGAACTTTAGTATCAGTCCTTAATTTGAGAAATGCTTAGCCAAAATTCCTCTTCTCTCTTATGTCCTTTGGAATTGATACCAATCCTACATATGATAAAATATATGACACTATAGTTTTTATATTTTGCTTTTCTCACATTTTCCCTCTTTGTGTTGCAGTATGAGTAATTTTCACTGATCTATTTTCAGGTTCACTAATTCTCTCCATAGCTATATCAGTTGTACCAATGAGCCCAGAAAACTCATTCTCATTTAAGATCACAATGTCTACTTTTCCAAAAGAATTTTTAATATTTACTTTTATGTATATATGTTGTGTTTGCTGTATATGCATTGCATGCATGCAGGTGTCCATGTAAGCCAACAGGCAATGTCAGGTACCCTAGAACTGGAGTTAACAAGATACACATGTTGAGAAATGAATACAGGTCCTCTTCAAGAAGAGCCCTTAATTGCTGAGCCATTTCTCCAGTCCCTGCAGAAATATTCTTTATGTCTGTTTTTCATGTCTGATATTTCAATATTGTTGTTATTTCTTACAGTTTTGAGAAGTTCTTTAGTTTGTTACTTAGGTGTGCAGTGGCTTTATATTCAGATTTAAGGTTGTTTTCTTATTTTTATTACTTACTAGAGAATTTCAAACAATGCATTTTGACCACAATCATACTTCCATTAACTCTTCCCAAATCCACCACACTTTTCCTATAAACTGGACTTTGTATCTTTTTTCCCCCTTAACCCTAATCAAATACTGTTTGTGCTTCCCATATACCCTTTTGATTTGTGGCCCTCCAGTGGAGCCCAGTCAACCCACCATGGGCCACAACCTTAAATTAAATTGAATCTCCTTTGCTCAGCGGCTATCAACTGTAAATAGCTTTTAGCAGTAAGTGGGACTTTGTGCCCCCTCCCCTCTTCATGTTGGGTGTTTGTCTGGCTTTAGTCTACACAAGCCTTGCACATGCTGTCTCAACTGCTGTGACTTTATATGTACAGCTGCCCTGATGTGTCCACTGTTTCCTGGTAGTCATCCACCACCTCTGGCTCTTAAAATCTTTTGTCTCCTCTTCAGAAATGATCCCTGAGCCTTGGGAGGAGGGGTTGTAATACAGATGTTTCATTTAAAGCACATTTCTAAGTTCATTACTTTTTGCACCTTGACCAGTTGTGGGTCTCTGTGTTAATCTTCATGTGCTGAGGGATGAGAGATAACACTAATCTGTGGGTATAATGATAAATCATTAAGACTCAGTTTAATACTGTATCCCTTTAGCAGAGTAATAATAATAGGGTCTTCCCTAAGGCCGCTTACCTAATATTCACAAGTTTTTGGCTCTAATATTGGTGCCAGGTATGGGATTCAACTTGCAGAGTAGAGTTTAAATCTTGTCATAAAGTGCTAAGTTACTCCCATGACATTTGTGTCACGATTGCACAATCATGACAATTAGGCCGATCATTATTGTAGCTCGAAGGGTTAACAGCTGTGTAAGATTGGTAATTACTTTGTTCCTCGAGTAACACAGGTAAAACTTTTTGGCACTATGGAAGCTAGACAGTAAGAAAGGTGAAGCTTCCATCATTTCTTTGGGTTTCAGAGATATGGCCTTCTATACTCTCTCGCCCCTTCCCCGGCTTCAGTTAAGGACTCAGTATTTAAGTCCTTTACAACACTTAATTCCTCGTCTTTGTGGATATTATATCCAGATTTGAAATTTTTAACTGAAAATAACAGCTTAGCTTTTACACACACACACACACGCACGCACGCACGTATGTATGTGTAATCCTAGTACTGGGGAAGCCAAAGCAAGGGAGCTGACGAGCATAAGCTATGTAGTGAGAAAGTGGCAGGATTGTTTTAACTTTAAGAGTAAGTTGAAGCCAGGTTTACTGTTGTTCACTGTAATTCCAGTGCTTGGGTTGCTGAGGCAAGAGGACTGTGAATTCAAGGATACATCATGAGATACCATCTCCAAAATAAAGCCACTCACTGCTTCCTAAATAATGAAAACAAGAAGACAGAAAATATTGTAAATAAAATGGAATTTAGTAACCTAATCTATCAACATTACAGTTTAGCCACACAGTATTTCATATAATATTGGTGATTTCTCATGGTAATCATATCACTGACTGTGAGCTATGGCTAACTACAGCATTATAAGCAAAAATCAGACCACATATCACTAGACTGGGGAAAAGTTTGATTAAAAGTTAAAACTTAAGCTATGATTTCTCCTGAATATATAGCACACAACCATAAAATTGAAAAATCTCAAATCAAACTCTTGTAACTCAAAGACCCTCTCTCTATGAACTTGTAGATTTATTCTTTAATTTTATAGATATCATTCTCTTTTTATCCTTCTAAAATTTTCTTTTGGTGCTGAACACTATATTATGAGATTTATTCATAAGAATCCATGTAGCTATATTTCTTTAATGCCACACAACATTACACTTGATGATTAAACAAAAAGTTTCTATATTTCTTTGGTTTCCAATTTCTCAATGCTGGAAAAATGCTGGAAAAACTGACACTGATGGTTCTTTGTGCATATGTTTTAGATTGTCTCTAGTGTATATGCCTATATTTGGAATTGATGGATTGATGTATTGATGATTATTTTCCACTTCATCAGATCCTTCCAGATTGAACTGAGCAGTTATATTAGTTTAAATTCATTACCAGAGGATGAGAAACCTCTTGTACCATAGCCTCAAAAAAATCAGTATTCTCAGATCTAACGTTATTAAAACATGTTTAGTCTCAAGAAAGTGATCCTTTTATGATTATGCTCTGGGGATTTAATTAAGTACTCATGGTTTCAAGACAAGTATTTTATAGACTGAATCATCTTCCCAGTCCTAACAGCAACTTAATAAATCAGCTGAATTGGTCTATTCATCATAGCTTTAACTAATAATGAATAACAGTAATCAATATGATTTTATTTAAAAAGCTTTATATCTGGTAAGACATGCAACTTAGTTTTTCCTTCACATTTCTCTTTGTTATTCTTGGCCTTTATCTCTTTTATATAAATTTTAGAATCAGCTCTTCTACTTCTATGTTTAAAATTGTTTTGGGGTTAGGGGTAGAATTATTTTGAATATATAACATTTTAAAACACCGTGCCTGTGCTTGATTTAGAGGTACATATACTGAAATTAGAATACTATTGAGAAGATTAGCATGGCCTCTGAACAAAGATCACATGCCAATTCCTGACATGGTCAAGATGGTTTTTGCCACTTTATTCACAAAAATTAGGAAATGGAAATAATCTAAATGTCCTCAACATATGAATAGATAATGAAAATGTGATACATGTACACCATGGAATACTATTCAGCTATAGAAAAAAAAGGAATAATGAAATTTGCAAATAAGTGTAGCTCTCATCCCACTCCAAAGAAATTTCTTTTTTCAGAAAATGGAGACCATTACAGAAAACCACCAAAGGTCATGATACAGAGATCAACTAATTATAGGGAGACCAGCCTCAATAGATATATTTACAATACAACTGTGTACTGAAGGTTTCGGGACCACTGAGAAATAAGGGTGGAAATATTGTAGGAGTTGGAACAGGAAGACTGCTGTGATATTGTATCTCTTAGAAATGACAGGGAAGCTACACTCATGATAGTTTATCAATATGGCTACCTAAACAAGACCTGAACAATGACAGTACCAATAGACATGTTAATCCAGAAGTGGGAAATCACACCTATGTACTGCTCCTTGACAAAGAACTATACAGACCTAGCAACTATTGAGAAAAGGCAAATTAGCCTATCCCAAGGATAAGCGTCATACTTGGTTATCTGATACAAAGTTGTCAGCTCTGAGATGACAAGATACACACAAGTATTTATGTGTTTATATATTTTCTTAGTCACTATTTTATTGCTGTCTTGTTACACCATGACCAAGGCAACTCTTATGAAAGAGTTGCATTTAATTGGGGCTTATTTCTAGTTTCAGAGGTTTGATCCATTGTCATCATGGCAGAGAACATGGTGGCAGGCAGACTTGGTGCTAGAGAAATATCTGAGAGCTACATCCTAATCTACAATCAGAGAGAGAGAGAGAGAGAGAGAGAGAGAGAGAGAGAGAGAGAGAGAGAACAACAAGGTCACACCTCCTAATACTTCTTAAAGAGTGTCACATTGGTGACTAATCATTCAAATACATGGAACCCATTCTTATTTAAACTGCTATATATATGTAATAATAGTAAAGAAAAAGGAGGTCATCAATTTGATAGGGAGTGAGGCATATTGGAAGAGGTAGAAGAAAGAAAGGGAAGAGGAAGTGATATAATTAGATTTTAATTAAAAACTGTAAAGGTGTGAATGTAAAAATTTCCCTTAATACCCAGATGATAGTAGTACATGCCTTTAATCCCAGAGCTTGGGAGGCAGAGGCAGGCAGATCTCTGAATTTGAGGCCAACCTGGTCTACATAGTGAGTTCCAAAACAGCTGGGCTGTACAGAGAAAAATCTGTCCTGATAAAAAGTCACTTAATATTTAATTCATATAAAAATAAATAAGCCAACCTAAAATATAAATAAACTATTGACCCTTACAATTAATTCAAGAGGAACATTGCATAAGCTTGGACTGTGAGGAAGGAGATATCAGGATTGTAGGACAGACCCCAGGTAGAGCTAGGCCCCCACCCCAGACTCTGCTCCTACACATGCCAGCTGACAGAGTCTTGAGTAAGTAGAGCCTGGACAAAGATGACAGAAAAGCATCCCAAGGGCTACTGATGCATAGGCTGTAAAGTAGAAAACTTGGAACAGTCCCAAAATAAACAGACTACATGGCTGACACAGTGAGCCTCTGTGAATGGCATAGGTGGTCACAGAGGTGGGTTGTATTTCTTTTCTTTTTTTTTCATCTGAAATGAATGGATATATAACGGCCTTTTCACAGTTTGGAAGTTTAGCTAGGTGAGATATTGCCCTGTGGGCACTCTTCCCTTTACTCCAAATCTAAAGAAGTGGGCTCTCCTCAAGGGCAATAAACTCCTTATCTTCTTCAATGGAAACCTTGGCTCCAACATTAAGTTTCCTGGTCTTTTATTCTCTTCAAACTGTACCTTTTGTTTCTTTCTGCCCCACTTGCTCTTTTGTACTGTACACCTGAATAAGTTTCTAATGATAACCATACCACCAATGTAACATTATGCTGCCTTGAATTGCATCCACTGGGTGGTTTGTGGAGGGGTAACTGGGAAAGGGGTAGGGGGTATCATTTGAAATGTAAACGAATAAAATGATTAATAAAAAATTACATCCACCAAAGAAATTAGTGCATGTTTAATTTAACCTTGGGAAAGTTCTTAGGACAAGGACAGAAGCCAGCTATATTTCTTTTCAAAATATCACAATAATTACTAAGTGCTAATAATGTTCATCTCTGAAAGCTCTTGATCTGTGCCTTCACAGTGACCTTGCTCTCAGCACTACTATCTTCCAACTGTCTACTAGAATGGACCCTTAGGCTTATTCCTTAGTAGTATTCATCTACTTTTCCAAAATCCTCCACATTCTTCAAGAAAAAAAAAAGAAACATAAAACAGCAACAATAAAAACAACATGGTCAGTTTTTTCGTTTTCGGTTTGTTTGTTTGTTTGTTTTTTTCAGTAGCAGTGCCTACTCACTCTCTGGTACCAACTTCTGTATTCAAGTTACTTTTGTGGTGCTGTGCTAAACATATGACTGAGTCAGCTTAAGGAAGAAAAAGCATATACTGGCTTATAGTTCCAAAGTGACAAGAGTCATGGCAGTAAGTGACTGGTGTGGTGGCAGGCACAAGCTAAGAGCTTCCATCTTGAACCACATGCAAGAAGCAGAAAGAGCCAACTGTAGTGGAATGAATATTTTAACCTCAAAGCCTTTTCCCATCAATGTACCTCTTGCAGCAAGGCCATACATCCTAATCCTCCCCAAAACTGTGCTACTAACTAAGGACCAAGTATTCAAATACTGAATCTTATGGGGGACAGTTCTCATTTAAACCACCACAGCAATAATAACTTTTCTGAACTTTTCTTGTGAAGAGTCCCTTGATTTTTCTATGCAATATTCTTTATTATCTAAAAATAAGGAAATACTGATTCTCTTGTTGATTCTTATAGAATTCTTTAAAATATTTATTAAAGTTTTTATTCATGTGTATCTATATGTGTAATCATACATGTATGCATGTATATGTGCATGTAGATGTTCACGAAGGCCATACATAATAGGGCATTGGATACTGTGGACCTGGAGTTAGACATAATTGTGAGCCTCCATGTGGGTACCGGGAATTGAACTCAAGTCCTGCAAGAGCAGTAAGCAGTCTTAAATACTGAGCCATTACTCCAGCCTCCGATTCTTATAATTCTTAGTTCTTTGGGGGGGGAGGGTATAGAAATCTTTAGGTAGGACATCCAGTATGACAATAAATAAGAGTTACTCTTCATATATACCTGACATGATTGTGAATTCTATAATTTTATTAGTAGGCACTATTACATATTATTATAATATGTGACATTCTGTAGCATATTTATATGCATTATCCAAAACAAAATATATTCCATTTTGATCCTAATTTGCTGTTTTTTGTGTACATATATATGTATGTGCCTGTGTTTATACATGTGTGCATACATGTGTACAAGCACATTTGCATATGCATGATCACATTTCTGTCCATGCATACTAAGGCCAGAGGTTAACATCAGATGTTTCACTTCATTATACTCCACTTTATTTTTTTGAGACAGTTGAACCTGGGCAACTTACCAAATTTATTAGCCTGGCTAGCCAACAAGCGCCAGGCATCCTCTTTTATCTGTCTTTCCAATGTTAAGAGTTACAGGTACATGCTGCTATGCTTGACATTTTTATGTGGATTCTGGGGATCTAACTCAGGTCCTCTTGTATGTGTGGCAAGCACTTTACCAACTGAACCATCTCCACAGGCTGGTAATTTTAGAATTACAAATTAATGTTGTCAACTGAATAGCTTTTCATCATTTTTATGAATGTATGGTTTTCTTCCTTTATTAGTTCATTAAAAATAATAATTTAGTATATTTTGAATTTTAAATATTCTTTTAAAAATTAGTTTTTATTTTATGTGTATGGGCATTTTTGCTTTTATATATCTGTGCATCATGTGTGCTGAGCCCACAGATGTCCTGTTCAGCAGGACATTAAACAGGGGTCCGTGGAGGTCACCTGAAAGAGGGGAGGGGGAAGCAGGCAAAGACGCAAGGAAGTGACGACCTGTCTATAGTCCGATCAGACTGTCATTTTTACTTTTGCACACACAGGTTATAAACACAAAAAGGTAGGATGTGGGGAAGGGGATGACACAGTGGCATAGGTGTTCAGGGGGAGTACAGATATCTTCCAGAACAGAGTGTCAGCTGGGTGAAGGTTCAGGGGACAGACCACTGGGACTGTGCCTATGATTCACTTGTCTTTCTCTAAGTTGATACTATCCACCAAGGTTACCTATCTACAAGGTCTATGACTAGCCAGGTTTGGCAGCCTTTCACCAAAACTGCCTGTTTACAATAACTCCCAGCTATCTGTTTCAGTGTTTTTCCACAGAAACCCAAGACTTGGTATTAGCAGGCATGTATGCCAGGCCTATTGCTGATTTTAGGCCTTCAGTGTATAAGCAGGGCTGCCCCTGACACACAGAGAACAGAGAGGGTGTCAGATTACATGGAAATAGAGTTACAGATATTTGTGATTTACTGTGTGGGTGCTGGAGATTGAACTCAGGTCTTCTGGGAGAGGAATCAGTGTTCTTAACTTCTGAACTCCCTAGCCCTGAATGTTAAATATTTTTAATTTCTCGGAACAATCTTGCTCAGTAGTGATGAGTTATTACTTTTTATAAATTACCGGATTTTCTCAATATTCAAGGCTGTTCTAGAATTCACTATATAGACCATAGTGGCCTCCGAATTATGGCAATTCTCCTACTTAACTCTCCTAAGTGCCAGTATTATAGATATGAACCATCATCTTTTATTTATTAATCTTTTTGTTCATTTGGCTGTTGAGTTCCTAAAAACAGAATTTTACTATGTATACCAGACTGGTTTGGAACTCACTATGTAGCTAAGACTGTCTTCAAACTCCTTACCCTCTCACCTCTCTCTCCCAAGTGCTTGGTTTATAGTTGTATATCACTGTGTGCAGCCAAATCCCCCCTTCTCATT